TATATATATTCTAGGCAGTCAGGCAGGGCTAGGCCTTCAAGGAGACAGAATTAAAGACAAGGTAACTTTGCAGCTTGAGAGAGACAGATGCTGCCAAATGTGGACCAGACCTCAAGTCAAAAGAGGAAACTACCTGGCTGATGTTACAGCTTAAGAGGTGGCACAAAAATCAGTGGGGACAGGAGATATTGCCAGTTCTGGAGCTCTAAAACAACCCACCTACTCAGACTCTGTTGGTAACTAATGTTCCTTGCTATTTGAGTAGATTAGCGGTGATGACACCGTGTCAAAATAATTTGATACATCACCACAAAGGGTCATAAGTGCGTAAGACTTGAGAGATTTAAACATATGCTATGATATTTAGTGTTGTTAAAACAACATGTAAAACAATCAGGGTATAATGTAGCCAAAGGAAAAAATTGGCTCTAGAGATTTGTCAAAAGGAAAAATTGGAGACTATTCTTGATGCCTCCTTGTACCTGCCTCAGTTGGACCTGTTCTTCTGTTTCTATCGGGCCCTGTTTTATTATTTTTTTAAACTTTTTTAACATTTATTGTGTGTGTGTGTGTGTGTGTGGCCAGCTCAGCCCACCAGGGGGCGGGGCTGGCTGGCATGTGGTGCTGGAGGATTGAACCACGGTCCCTGTGCTTTGCCAAGCTTGTTCCAAGTAGGTGCTTTAGACCACTGAGCCATCTCTCCAGCCCCTTGTGCCCTGTTTTATAAACTGTTTAAGTATGTTCAAAAAATCCAGACTGTCAAGTTAATGGTGCTGAGATCTAACTATGAACCCCTCATGCTCCCGGGACAGTTATAACAACTTGGGGTTTTTAGCTGAATCAATGATTTGCAAGGCTGCCTGCAGGTACTCAGGTGCAAGATAACCAGAAACTAAAAGCCCCAGGAATGTAGTTTGAGTAATGGTCTCAATGACCCTGAAAGCATTATTGTGTGTCAGACAATGAATTTGTTTACCAAATGGAATGTGGTTCCAGGTTTTACACCCTCACCCCCCACCCCCCACCCCCCACCCCCACTTCCTGGGCTAGCCGCCTTGTCCTTTCCTATGTGAGAGCTAAGGGGGCGTGGTGGCTGGGCCTGAGCTTTCCAAATTCCAATCTGGCTGATCTGGCTCCTATTCTGAGCAACCCATAACAACAACAGATTAAAATTTTTTTTGTTTAGCCAAGGGTACTGTGAGCAGCAGCTTTCCTTCGCACAAACACACGAGGGGCTGCTCTCCACCCCTCCCCGGCCTGGGCAAGGTCTCTGTGCCGCTCATTGCACAGCCCTGGCTCACGCATGCATCCTGAGCCCAGAGGCACTGGGCACGGGGTGGAGGAGCTGCTGTGCAGTGCTTGAGGTCTGGAACCTGCAGGGAATGGGTAGAGGGCTGTGGCCACGTCATACCCCATAGACCTCGATAAACAATGGCGTGACGGCATATACCTGCATTCCCAGCTACTAACTGCAGCTATTTGGGAAGCTGAGGTAGGAGAATCACTAATCCCAAAATAAAAAATAGAAAGGGCCAGGAATGTAGCTCCATGGCAGAGTGGTTCTGGGTTCAGTTGGCAGTACCAAACAGCTAATAAATAAGTTACTTGATGTGGAGTTCACCTGTAACACTAGCCCTGTGTTGGCCTGAAGCAGGTCCAAACCTAGGACTTATTGTGACTTGCTGTCTCAAAATAGTAAATACTAGAAAGTGGCTGGGGATATATCTCAATGTGAAGGCTCTGGGTTCAATTCTCAATACTACAAATACACACAGTGAGGTGGCAAATTCTTTGTAACTTCTTGCTTAGTTAGGAGAATTACTGTGAGTCTGAGCTAAGCCTGGGTTACTTAGTGAGTTCAAGTCCAGCCCTGACTATATAGCAAGACCCTATCTCAAAAAAACAAGAAGAAAGAGAGAGAAGGGGATGCTGCGGTAAGAGGACTGTCAAGAGTTCAGGCTACCCTGGACTACATAGTGAGTCGGTCCAAGGCCAGCCTGAATTACCTAGTGAGATTCTGTCTCAACATTCCCCCACCAGAAAAAGGAATCCGATCAGGCTAATACAGTCTTGGCAGAACCCTACAGAAATCACAGTGTGCCTTCTTAGTGCATGCTGTTAAAATGTCAGAAGTTGGTTTATTCTTTTGTTTTTTGTCTTCTTGAGACAGGGTTTCTCTATGAACTTCAGGCTGGGCTTGAACTCTAAGTGATCCTCCTACTTCAGCCTCCCAATTGCTGGGATTACCACCCCCAGTAAGTCAATTTATTCTTTTTTTTTTTTTCTTAATGTATTTAGTACAGTCCGGGGAGATGGCTCAGTGGAATAAGTGCTTCCCTGACAGGCAAAAGGGCCTGAGTTCAATCCCTGGTTCTGCCCACCCCCCAAAA